CCTCGACATCCACAGACGGGCCATATGTCTACCTGATTCACTAAGTAGAAAAAATGTCACACACCCTATACCTCCCGAGTATATATCAATGCTCGCGGATTCTCTCTTTTTTCGTCTTCCTGTCTTTTCTCCCTGCAATTCAAGCCTCGGCATGGATCCAATACCCACCCAGTGGACATGCAACCATGACGCATTACACACTTCCTCTTGGGTTCATCGCCGCTTGCGGGTGTACCCCGAACAGCACATACTATCCTACTGCCGCTTTGAGCCAAATGGCGTATGGGAGTAGCACTTCATATGGCCCCGCATGCGGCCAGTGTTTTAATCTCACCCTCTTGGATGCTTTCACGGCGAACCCACCCTTCTATCCCAATTCAACCAACTCGGTTGTTGTCAAAATCTCTGACCTCTGTCCGCTTTCTTCGAAGGGGTGGTGTAATGCTACGACGTCTGGCCCCAATGCGTGAGTGAACGGCGTTGTATTTAGGGTGGTATGAAAATGACAACTGATTACTTAGCGGAGGGGCGTACCTCAACTTCGATCTTGCCTGGCCGTCCACTTCAATCCCGAATAGCTTCTTCCCATCCGATGCTGCTCTCTATGGTATGCCGTTGCTAGTCGCTAGGCCACGTGTTGTTGATGGCTAAACACATTCTCGCTTAGGCTTTACTGTAAGTTTGAAAGTACAGCGTGGAGAAGTGATAACGAATGAAATATTATCAGGATTTTGGTGTCTGGAATATCAGTTACCAGAGTGTCTCGTGCCAGGAGTGGGAAGGATACCAAAACCAATCTGCTCTTGGAAGCGTTGCAGATTTGGGCTACACCTCTTGTTGTCCGAACGACCCGACGGTATTATTGATTTCATTTTAGATTACCTGGTCTAAAACTCATCTGTGACGCCTACAGGAATCATCCGACGGTGTGTGCCCCTCTTATTCCGATAATGCAGGATTATCGTTCGTTTGTTACCTTCGTGTCAAAGTCTCTTACTGATATCTCGGTGATAGCCCGACAATTCACCCTGGGTCTGGCGCTGGTGCCATGGTCACGAACACACCACATCTTCTCTTGACTTTGGCTCTATCTCTATTACTATATTTAATGTAGAATTTCGGATTTGGGCCTTCTGCTGGGTGCACACATCTCTCTTTGCGTAATGCTTCATTCCAAACTATCTTCCTTCACTTCCTTGTGATACCTACTGGTAGGGACCATATCATAACTCACGTTTCATGGGTAGCCTGCTCTGCCCTTCGCCGCCGCGTATGTGACGTGACTCCCAGAAGCATCGGATCGGATTCAAGAAACCTACGAAGTAGTATCGAGCCTCTCATTTCCACGAAACACAACGTGTCCAACGTCACGAGCGAAATGTGGAGGCAAGCGAGGCTGGGGTCCCTTTTTCTTTTTCTTTCGTTGTTCGGGGTGGACCGAGCTTCCAGTAGGCATTGATATGAACGTGGTCGGTGCTTCCGTCGACTGAATTTCTTCTATCGTATCCTCGCGTGACTGCGGATCGCCGTGTAGCAGAGGAGGAGCGGGGATGCGACGCTCTGTTTGACAACGATGACATTGGTAGGAGATGAGATGTCCATGTGAGGACGAGTCTGTTCCAAAGGTGTCGGTAAAACGTTCCCGTTTGCTGTGTTCAGCCACTAGGGCTACTGGTACTCACCCTTGACACGAACGGTAGCGGAAATTCCGGGTATCAAAGGAGCGCTGCAGCGTTTGCATATGCAACGCTTGACAGATGGGTCCCTATACAATGCGATGAGTGACGACGCAAGCGGCTAAGAAGCACGAGCAACAGCATAGACATGGAAAGTGTCAGTAAGGCAAGAAAGCACACGCACATTCTGACATTCGTCTTTTGGCCTACACTCTTCATCGTCTCCACATAACTTCTCGACAACTCCTCGACGCTCACTACGCGCCGTCTCCTCTTCTTTCGAGCCTTTGGAGGATCTAATGGAGAATTCTCTTCCTCGATGCCAGGGACTGTTTTAGTGGATATCACCGAGGGCCTCGACGGGTCATTGTTGTGAGAGGTAGAGCGAGAAGGTGCAAGGCCGTTCAGGAGGACGCTCGCCTGGTAGAGAAAGTTGAGGCGTTGGAGGATATCGCGATTCGTCCACGGTGGTTGGATTAGGTATCTCGTCCTTGTTCTTGCCCTTGTTCTTACCCATGTCTTGACGATCGAATACGTGAATCCAAAACCAGGTAACCTTGAATTGATTATCAGGCGAACCTGTCTGGGAAAGAGTGTTTCGGACCCTGATTTTGTCATGAGGGTAAGCACGCACGACCTACAACGACCGACCTTAGCTCAGTTGGAAGAGCGCGAGACTGTAATGGATAAGTTTCATCTTGAGGTCGCCTGTTCGAACCAGGCAGGTCGGATTTTTTTTTTCCCCTTCTTTTCTCGCTCCCGACACTCAAAATGTGGCTCAAAAATCATGCTGTGGGAACCACTTCAACCGTTGAGTCAACCTGACGTTCTTTATGTGTCGATCAACGAGGTTGGAAACAAACAGTTGCAAGGGTTGTTCGCCTTGTAGGTAGTCAAGAATTCGAGTGCTTGTGTCCGAGTATATTAGTACATTCCCGGACTTTCCAAATATCCGTTTCTCACTGGGAGGCCTCAGTGTCCGGTCTTATGATTGGCGCCCTATAAAGCCGCATTCCTATCACATCTGTTCCGAGTCGGAAGACCAGCCGGCACACTAGCACATGCTTCACTTGAAGGCTTTTAAAATGGATTGTTTGCTAAGTCCGTACCAACTCGGATCACCCTGCCGACAAGAGCGTGCTCGCCAAACCCGATTCATCATTCAGTGAATCCAGAGGCTGGCATTCAGACTGAAGAATAGCCAGAGGTCATCGATCATCGTTGAGTCCTTCGGGCTATTTCTTCGAGCCTCCTGGTTCAGCCCGCCGGTCTCTTTCAATATAAGTTATTTAAGGGGATCAGTCGCCTTCCGTTGGGTCCTTCGGGCTATTTCTTCGAGCCTCCTGGTTCTACATTGCCGCTCGTCTTCGCTCGATAAGTTCTGACGCACCTTCACGTTGGATTCAAAGTGCAGCCAAGCTCACTGAAGGCGAGGCGAAGCCTCGACCCCTGCCACGCTGCCCCGGCACTGGTTCGGATGGAGGACCCACGTTCCGAGTTATGAAAAGGTATTAGCACGCCTGGTACGATAAAACATGAGTACCCACATGGTTTCCATCTCGTGGCTACTGTTATCCCTCTCCCTTTCTCTAACTCGAAGGTTGAAACGTTGATGGACCACCGCGGATGACCCAAAGGAGAACATAGACCGTGGCTGAAACTTTTAACCAAGTATGTCCTACTGGCAGTTCGTATCCCGTACGCAGCGACTCGGGTTATGTTGTTCCAAGTCCAAGACATACTTCATATCTATGGTGCCAGCGAGGCAAGGCACACATTCTTCATCGTCTCTTCATCGCTTCCGACTTGAAATAACTCGATAACTCCTCAACGATCGCTACGCGCCATCTCCTCTTCATTCGAGCTTCTGGAGGATTTGTTAAAGGGTTCCCTTCCTCGGTGCCATGGGCCTCAAAAAGTTATCGTTGTGAGAGGTAAGTATGAATAGATCTGGATGAGGAGCAATATGCTATTGATTCCTTCCAACACCTGCTTCGCCAAGTCGATCGGGATCAAGTCGGCAACTTGTCGGATAAACTGAATTGTGACATCGAGGACATTCGCGCCGCTTTCTCTGTGGCTGGTGGATGGTCACGGCTGGGCAATTCTCCGCCAGTTTACACATCTTCCTCATGAATTGTTTCACGTGCCCTGTATCGTAAGGTAGACGAACTAGATGGTACTCAAAAAACTCGGTGGACAGGGTGGAACGACAAGGTCGGTGGGGGGGAGATGGAAAGAGTGAAAACGGGGAACCAATAAGAATAGCCGAAGTCTTGGCCCATCGGATCGCTTGGTAGGCGTCTATCTCGCCAGTAGACTATATGAACGTGAGTTTAAAGATGAAAGATTGAGGTGGTAGACGTTTCCATGAAAAAAAAGGACGGTGGCGAATGTGCAATGGTAGTGACCCCGTTGGACTGCCCATGAAATTCGTGCCAGCGCTACGTCGCTCAAAGCAACCAGTTCGACTATAGCCTGACTTGATACTAGTACGAGACCAAATCTGATCGGGACCAACAACAAAGAACGCACGTACCGTTTTGCAACCTTGATATATGTGCGCGTGTCCTTGCAGGTTCCTGGCGTGAAATACCTCTGAGAACAGTGGGATGCGTGCCACTGGCACGATGACAAAGACGATATGGTTCTGGACCGTTATCCAGCTTTCTGAATTCCGGAGCTGGAGAGCGTGCGTGTTTTCGTACGAGTCGGAACATGACTGGGCGACGAGTAGAAAAACCGTCCGTAGCAATGGCAGTGAACTGCTCACAGTTGGGTGCCGGCACGATCTATACTAGTTCCGAGCTAGTATCTGCTCATCAATCTGGAAGTCCCTCGGAAGAGACTTGTTCCGTGAAAGTGATGCCTACTTGATCATCATGATGAATCTCCAGCAGCCCTGAGTCAGTTCCCCTAAATACTTGACTAGAAGCCCAAGGTGATCCGATATCAGTACGTTCGGATTTGATAAGCAGATCGGATGCGGCGATCAGCGCGATGCGCGGATTCTTTGATTGATACGGAACCTTTATGTGTGTTCTGGTGTTCTTCTTCTGACGAAGTGTGTTCTCGGATTTACTAGTATTGTATGCCGTTTGGTAGTGCCGACGAGTTGGCGTTCGGTGGGAATCGGGTACGCCGAGGACGAACACTCCGAGGAAGTTGCGGAGGACTTTCCTCAATCCGCATCGCGCGAAGACTCCGCTTGGAGTGTATAACGCCTCTGCCAGTGAGAGCGTTTAGCCAGTTTGAAGAAGGGAAGGTTGTCGATGCCTTCCCGACATGTGAGTATTTATTTCACCTACTACAGCATCCGCCGATCCTGCCTTAGCTCAGTTGGAAGAGCGCGAGACTGTAACTGGGTAAATTCATCTTGAGGTCGCCTGTTCGAACCAGGCAGGCAGGACTCTCTTTTTGCCTCTCGATCGAGAACCACTCTTTCCATCCAGATAATTTAGTACAAGTACATCTCCAATCCTATCGTTCCCGTCCCGCCCGGCTGATCGATGCAAATGCGCCTGTAGTAGTACATATGGATTCCTTACCAAACCTGAACCGAATCTTCCTAGTAGATTCCGGCAACTCTCAAACTGTGGCACCTAAACTCCGCAAAAATTCTACCCCACTTGTGTCACCATTAAACATGGCCTTTTGCAACGCTGTCAAGCTGTCGCTTCCATACCGACAGTGGACATCGACGTCGTGCTCCGCGATCAAGTCGATGGTGCCGTTGTAGTCGCCTGCTGCGACCAGATCGTGAAATGCGCGAACGTGTACTTGATTCGGATGAGAGTCTAGGTGTACTTCTTCTTCCTATTCGACGGGAGTGGGTCGGCCAAGGTTGCGCCAGGCACCGATATTCAGAAAACGCATCACCGATCCGCATCGTCTCATCAAAGAGACCTACGTACGAGGAATCACGCCAAAATCGAACCCCCTTGTCTCACCCCCCTCGTTCCGGACGTCGACGATGAACCTCCCGAATGCATCGAGGACGTTTTGGCCACATACGACGCAGGACGTGATGGCGGAGGTGGGGGTGCCACCTGGAGGGACGGGCGTCGGGATGGGGATGACGCCGCGAGAGCGTGCTTGTTTGGCGTGGTCGATCAGGCATGTCCAATGGGTATGGTGGCCGCTTGGACCTGACCCGGGTAAACCACAATACAGCTCGACGTCGTCGATGACGGTTTCTGCGACACCGCGTTCCGGTCCAGTGTCTGAGTCGGGTTCGGGGTCACCGGTGGTGATGTGAAGGGATTGGTGACAGAACATGCAGGTATCAGGAGAGTAGGTGGCCCAAAGTTGACTGGTGCTCGCCATGGTGAGGACTTGTTGGTCGCAGTCCACGTGGTTATCTTATCGGAAATGTCTTGGTTTACACTCGTAGTACACAATTTGGACCTGTTTGGACGTTTGCACTAATATTTTGCTTCCTTATTTTCTCGTCCAAGTATCTCCGAGGCTAAGCACTTCCCTTCGAACATCTATAGTCTATGCCGGTAACCAATCCAAAAATTCAGGGGTAAAGTAGGATAGGATGAGCGTAGCGCCTGGGAAAACGTCAGGAAACCATCATCAACGCTCGGATGATACCCACCAGCTCTGACCATGCTCTCAGTTGTTTCAAACGCCATGGCTTTGAGGTCATACACGCCAGCTTTTGCACCTGCATGGACCATAGCGAATTCACCGCTGACTTGATAACATGCGATCGGATGATCTTCCGCCAACTGTGCTGCATCTGCGACGATGTCGAGGTACGGGAGGGCGGGCTTAACCATGATGACGTCGGCACCTTCGGTAACATCCCTTTGCTACAAAGGGTAAGAGGATGGTTGCGACCCAAGGGAGATGACACTGACAATAGCACGTCTCGCAAGGCCCTTGGCAGCCGGAGGGAGCTGGTAACACTTGCGATCCCCAAACGACGGGGCGCTCCCAGCAGCATCTCTGGACATATGTTGAGAAGAAAGTGCATTATATGCGCGATTCCTCACCTGAATGGGCCATACAAACCACTCGCAAACTTGGCGGAGTAACTCATGAGGGTGCATCGGTTGCCGAAACCGGCGTCGATCAGGATTCGCTTGATGGCTTGAATACGCCCGTCCATCATATCGCTCGGGGCGACACAGTGTGCACCAGCGCGGGTATAGTTGAGGGCGACTTCTGCGATGCGAGCGACGGAGGGTTCGGTGTTGATCGTACCATCAGGATGGAGGAGTCCACAGTGACCGTGTGACGTGTACTCGCAGAGACACACGTCACAAGCGATGTAGAGCTCCGGAAAGAGGGTCCGAATTTTCTTGATTGCTTGGATGACAGGGCCCTCCGGGTCGTCGGCGGGCGTTCCCCGATCATCCTGGTTATGTGTCAGCGTTGGCAGAGACCGAGGTTAGATACGGACTTTTTCGCACGTGAGAGGGACGCCAAAGAGAATGACACTGGTCAATCCTTTTTGGACGAGTGGACTGAGAAAGCCCTCAAGTTGATTGATACCCCATCGTCGCTGACCTGGGAGAGTAGGAATGATGACGCTAGCATCGGGGTCGTCTGTGATGAATATGGGGTACATGAACATGGATTTCGTGAGTTGGCGACGGCTTTGCCATGAGCGGGAGAGAGGGTGTTGATAGCCACCCTGAAGGATAGATCTGACACGACATGTTGGCTTGGAAAGCTGGTCGAATAAGAAGTACACTCACGAAATTTCCATGTGCGGTGATGGTGGTCGAGTGCGTGAGACGGATCGACCCGATCAGCGTCCGCTTGTCATTTAGCGCTGACGTGTTTCGGTCCTCGCACTTTCCAGCGATCACTACAGAATCGTGTTTCGTCACAAGTCAGCGCATGTCATGATTGCACTGAGTTTGGGAGTAGCATTAGGGACGACGGGGAACTGGCGTTATGGCATGACCAAGGGCTCGGTTTCAGCATTTAATTTTTGTGTACGTATACTAATAATTAGCGGCACCGAAAGAACAATGGAGAGAGTTGAACATTGGTACTCCACGGAATCAACAAAGCAACTGGATGAGTTCTCACAGGTTTATGATGACAACGGTGGGTGTGACGACGAGGCACACGGTTGATAACCTCGTGTATCGTTGACGGGAGACACGGAGTCAGATAGAACGATCACGTGATACTGTTGAGTCAGTCCCACGCGTACTCTTAAACACCATTTTGCTCCCTTTGTCTCCGTACCTTATCCAACGTCCATGTTGGCAAACCCAACACAGTACATATCCCTATCTCCCGGTAACACAAGCTGCCGTGCAGCCCACACGTCACCCATGTTCTCCCCGTCCCCGCTCAGAAGAAAGCCCGTCTTTTCTCCACCTCAACTCAACGATCTAGACCACGACGACATCTTTCTTCAGTCTCCCTTCAATTCTCCTCCCCCAGTGCACCGTCTATACCCAAACCGCGTACATGATCCACCTCTATCAATCGACGACGACGAGGGCAGCTTCTTTCTCTCCCCCTCCTCCACCTCCACCGCCACGTCCCCGTTCTTCCCTGCCCCGTCCTCACAGCCTCTCAGAACTCCCCTCAAAGAGGAATTCCGTTCACAGGCCCGATCCGTGCTCAAGTCAAGGCAGATCAACACCCATTCCGATGTTGCCTCCACTTCCGCAGCCGTTCGCACCGCCGTGGGCACCAAACGTAAATCATCAGCGCAATCGGGTGGCTTCTCAACCCCACTACGGCACTGCGCCTCCACCCCTTTGTCCATATCCGCCGCAAAGGCAGATCCTGCTTCCGGAATCGCCTTTCACCGTCTTGCTCCGCTACCCGCCCCTCGCTTCGCTCTTCGTACCCCTCAATCAAAGGCCGAAACTGACGCGTACCTAAAGGGTCAGGCAGAGACAATGACACGTCTGCGTATCCGCGATATGGAAAATTCCGACGAGGAGTGGGGCGTCATCGAGGACGACTCGGCCGGTGAGGTGGAAGAACGTCATGACGCGGCACCCAGAAAACCATTTTCGAACAGACTCCCTCTTTTCTCCCGTCGATCCAAGAATCATTTACGCAGTCCCAGGAAACCTCGCCCAATCAATCCCGTACCCCAGAAGGGCAGCACTTTCGATGAGGTTACCGAGGCAATATCACCTGGAGGCCACATCTTGAAGAGACGCGCTCGCTCGAGACCCGTATCACTTGAGCTGCTTGAGAGCGTAAATCGGACACCACCATCTGCTTCATCTTATGTGCGTGCTCTTTGATTCATCGTCCGTTGTACTCAGATCCATCTCTTATAGCCTAACACATCCAGTCCCAAGGTTACATCAAACTTACCGCCAGTCGCCTTCCCATCGGCCCATCGTAATCGGATGTCGATTCTCGATGTCCCTCCCCAGTCAGGGTGCGACTCCCCCGTGCCACGAAGACGACTTACTGGCAGTAGTGGACCACCCCCGTCCTTCCAGACTAATGCGTCCAACACCGTTCCTCGCCAGCCCATGAAGCGCCTCGTGAGCAACAGTTCCGCGTCACTCTTCTTCGGACCATCAATCCCTCAAACCACGACCAAGACTCGTGCGCATACATCGTCAAATGCCACCGCAGCATCCACAAGGCTACATGTCACGTCAGTGGCCAACAGGCACAGCTATGCAGGATCTGGTGGCGAGGCGATAGCTGCCTTCCCATGGCGATCTACTCTCAATATACCATCCCCGGACTCATCTCCAGTGTCATTGCCTCACGGCAATCACGACGTTGTGGATGATGAAGACGACATGTTCTTTGAACCGTGTGACCCACCGGAAACGTCATTAGTGTTCCACGTAAATGAGGGCACGCCGTCCCCTAGGTCACAAAAAGGGAAGAAGGATATGCTCCCATTAAAATACAAGCCTCGTGATTCCGGCGTTGCATTTAGTGACGACGAGGATACATCACACAGTGCGGGTACTTCCCTCTCGGCGATGCCACAAACTTCGACGTCTGCTTCTTCTCTGAATTCGGACATTGGGGACGACTTGATCACACCGGGCTGCGTACCAGAATCTAATTCAGGCTGGCCAGCGCTATTTGTTACTACTGGTTCAGAAGACGATTTCCGAACAAATGACGATGGCGGACGTGGACGCATTCATTCTTCGGACACTTGCAGCGGGCGGTAAACCATCGGCCGAAGAATCGAAGAAACCACCTGGCACACCCGTCAAGAAGTTGAAGAACGCGCATTTCGGAGGAAACAGACCGTGGCAAAGCGCCGTGGCCAGCAAGGTTGGATTTAACTTTGGAGGATTGGATCTCGGAACGGCCCCCGTTAGTAAAATGAAGAACGGGCCCCGTAAAAGTCTTCCTGCAGCATTTCCTTCACTCGGCGTTAAGAAGGGAGTGGATCTACAAGGGTCGGATGAAGACGAGGACGAGGAGAACAGTCCG